ACACACACACAGTAATTAAGTGTATATATACAGTGTTACAGTACAGAATGTGGTACTTATTATACAAGTCCTACAATGTATACACTCCCTATAGGGCTCTAACTACCACCTGAGAAGGTGATTAGGGTGGGTGGCAGGGGGTCTAACCACCTTTTGAGTATATGGTTGGATCCCTGCAAATTGTATACATTGTAGGTCCTTAGACCTTAGAGTTTTATCATATGTGACTACCTGCACCCAGTGACACTGGGCGATTCTGGGTGTTCTACCTTAACATCCACACACCCATTTACCACGTGGACGAGCAACCTGGAGAAAAGCCCCAGGGAGGAATGTCCGACCCTCCAAACGCTCCTGCAAAGCTTCATACATTGATCATCATTGATCCCTAAAGACCAGTTTTCTTGCACAGATGGTTCCGGGGGCCATGTTCCAAAGCGGGAAGGTCAGCCACTAAAACAAGATGTTGTTGGATGAGTTTGGGCCTTCAAACTTCCCGGATTGGAGACTGGCACTGCGATGGGAGCTAAGGGCATGATGTTCGCAAAGGGTCACTGAGATGGAATGCAGAGGGAGCTAGGTGGGGTATCACATCGTACAACTGATCAATCACAAGTTGTTTCATGTTATTTCATCTGAGCTAAGGTTGCAACTTACCTAGCCCATGATAGGCTCCCCAGGCCTCAAGATACCAGCATTCGCATGTTTTCGCCATTGATTTGGGAAGAGAATTCACCTATAGGGAGTCGACTTAGGTAGGGAGTCGACTTCAGAGCAAAATAGATGGGACATGTTCCAGTGCCCCACTCACTACACTCTGAAGTATCGCTCTTCGCCACCGCCTCGATGCTGCTCTCCGCCGCGCTGCTGGCAGCCGCACCTTGACCGATTGCTGGCTGCGTCAATGGACAAAAATCCAAGGGAGGCAATGTCTTGTACATGGCTGTGAGTCAAAACCTGGTACAGTAGCCCTGGTTTCTTCTCACAGAATATGAACATCAATAGACTAACAGACATGGTGAGTCAGCCACATAGCAGACACACATCACATATTTTGTTATCCATCCACCTATGTATTACTTTCATTTGATTTCATCTATATATATATATA